AGAAGAACTAACCAATAAGGATCTTATAAATTTGGACACTCAGAGAGCATATGATAACACTTAGAGGAATTTGAAGAAATCTTACCTACCCACCAGCATAAGAAGATGATGAAGAATGAATTAGAAGAACTTTTCACGGTTATTGAAGAAGTTAAGGGAAAATGTTTAGAAACAGACCCTGATGAAGATGGAAGCCGTCAAATTTCTCAGTACCGCCAATTATGTGAAGAACAGAAGAATACGATGCGACAAGCCACTCTAAACTAGTTTTTCATAAAAAATCAGATCAATAAATTTTAATTCATTGCATTTTTTTCGTATTTTCTTATATGCCTACACTTTGATTAAAAAATACGCAAAATAGAAATTATTATTGTGAATGAGAATGAAAATTGAGGTACGAATTACATGATTTTCTATAAGATATTATATTTGATTAGTGCGGCTCTTTTAAAGAACACATTAATCGCACTAATCGAGGGATTCCTTGTAATAAAAAAATAACTGCCTTGACTTTTTGATATAACTAAAGTAGATTAAGATAGATATGAGACCAAATACATTTAAGATTCTTAGAATTCTTTTAGGGTTTTGTAAGTCTGCCTTTTTGTGTCTTTAAAATCTAAATTTGTGAGTTTTCTGTCATAAGCATGACTTTTGTTGTGTTCTTAATAGTTTTTGGAAAATCTTTTTTGTGATATATTTTGTCTAGTAAGAATTCTTTGTTTTTTGTTGTAATGAATTAAAATTTTGTCAATTATTCAGACATATAACAATTGATTTTGAATCTTTAAGTAAAAGTATATGTAGATTTAATAGGTCAATTTGCTGGATGTGATATTATAGCAAAAACTGGTATTAATTTAGACTAAATCTGTTATTGTATTCCATTGTTGTTATGATGCTTGATAAAGTATTTATTATATATGCAGTATTCAACAATAATAGAATCAAACTTAACTTAAGCTTTAGGAGTCTGAATACTAAGACTGTATTTTAAATTTTAGGGATAAGTTAGTCAAAGTGTTTAAGCTGGCTATAAATACAAAAAAAAGGTGCTGGTGTCAGTATCTAAATAATGTTCCTGCATGTAATATAAATTTAGAATAGCTGTAGTTCATTTCATTGTTGTTGTTTTTTTTTTCTTCACTTCTTTAAGGCAACTGGTGACTCTTAAAAGTGATTTTCATCTAAAGCTATTATAAGAAATAGTGAAATTTATGAATTACTCTAGTAGTTAACAATAAACATGATGACATTGTAACTATTTTGAAAGTTACACTTCCAGACACAGCTGTAGAGAATCCCAAGTGATATCAAGTAGAATTTAACCAGTTTAAGTGCACATTGACACACACTGGACGGTACAAATTGTTCCTTGATTTGACCCATGCAAGTAATAAGTTATTTTATTGTTTCAAATTCTAACTCAAACTATGGAAAGAACTCATTATAAGATAGAATTTCTACAGTTTTCTACAAATTAGAGATGAAGAACTGCAACGGTGAAATATTTCTTTGAAATCATAACTTGTATAATTTTCAATAAACACTGTACAACTGTTTTTTTAATGTTTTACTTCTGAGGAGGATATTTAATGAATTAATTTAGTATTTTACAATAATTTGTAAAAGTAAATCTGATTAAATGTTTTGCAATAATTTTAACTACAGAACTATATATTGGTCTAAATCCTTCATAGCTTAATGATATTTTGTAGACTGTTTAATCATAATGTAACTAGTTAGTTAAATGTCATAAAAATGTGTCATTACCACATCAGTTTAGTTCTGCATGTCTATTATTAAATGGATAAGACCACAGTAAATCAGGTACTTATAGTACTTCTGAGATTCATGGATATGGTAAAAACCCTAACTAGTTTATCATAAAATCTGATTGTTAATAGGTAGTTATAAATGAAATGAATACTTTTTTTATAATCATATGTACCTATGTCTTTTTGTTATGAAAGCATGAAAAGTATGCCTACTATCGTTACCATACTTGTGATCATCAAAATAACATATAGTGTACTTTGCAGTAATTAATAAGGCTCAATTGAGTTTGATATTGGAAGGGATATAAATTTTATTTTTGTTTCTGATGAATTAAAATACTTTTTTTTACAAGGAAATTTGACTTTTTTTTTAAACTGTTTATAGCCAGTACCAGTTCATTTCAAAACTACTGCTTTGATTTGTTAGATAGCTTTCAGGCACCAGATATACAATTTTATGTATAATTTTCACAGAATGTTGAATTAACTACCAGAGTTGGGTGTGTTGTATGGTTTGTTTTATTGCATTGTGAAAAGTCTTATTTTTATGTGATATATGTATGAATTTGCAGCTGTGAAATTTCGAAGATTTCATTGTATTATGGTTTTTTAGAAACAATTAAAAATGTCTTTTTTGTTATAGATTTTAATTACTGATTTTTTGCTCTCAAACTTTTAACATTTTCCTCTAAAGTTTTAATTTTATAAATCTATAGATTTTATTTTTGTGTTTTGATTTTAGAAACAGTGCATGCAATTTCATTGTCTTTATAATCAGTGGGCCTATAACTGTGGCTGTAGTTGTCCACAAATATCTTTTCCTATAGCAAAAGAAATTATAGATAAATATGTATTCCATCCAAGGAGCTCTGATATTTCTTTATTTTTACTATGAATAATTAGTATTGTTGGTCAACTTTTGCAAGGAGAAGCCAACAGAATGTTATTTATCATATTTAAAGTTTGTTACAGCTTTTGTTCTTCATTGTGGTTATCATACATTTTCATATACAACAGTTTAGGATTAAAAAAAGTAACCAAATCTAAATTATCGTACTTGAAGATATCTAGTACATGTCTAGAAGGATAGTTCAAAATGTCTTTAAAAAACCAAAACAAGCAGAAAATAGGAAAATTACTCTCATGTAAGAATAATCGATTAGTTGACTAGAATTCATTAATGAGCGTAATAATTAATTGATTAGCAAATTCCACTAATTACCCAGCTGGAATAAATAAATATCAAAATAACTGACTTTACAATTTTTTAATAATGAAACAATGAACACACTGTTATTAGCAAATGTAATGTGTTTTTTTCAGGTTCTTTATCATAATTTAATCAACAACCAATGAAACAGTTAAACTAATACTTTCTGAGACAGTATTCTCCATGGATAAATAGTAACAAAAAATGTTTATTAGTATTTGAGGAAATCTGTTCAGTATTTCTGGTATTATTGTATTGTTTTGCTGAGTAAAGTATTATTTGTTTTATATTTTAGGCTAGATAATTACACCACTCCTGAAATTTTCCGTACACCTCTGCATGAGATTGCTCTGGCAATCAAATTGCTTCGATTGGGTGATATCAGTAGGTTTTTGTCAAAAGCACTTGAACCACCTCCCATTGATGCTGTTATAGAATCTGAAGTCTTGTTGAAAGGTTGGTTTCTTTTACCGTACAGGGTCAGACAATATGACCAACACAAAAAAATATAATTTTTAAAGTAAATATTTTTTTAAAAGATTTCTGTGGAATAAAAGTGTTAGCTGCACCAAGTGCAAAGTGCTTTTCATGTTATAATTAAAAATACTTTTTTTTACCTGAAAATTTTAAAATTTTGTGTAACTACTAAAATCTCCTAAATAAATATCAGACTTTTTAAAAATAAAACTATATTTTATGTGTTATTTTCTCTACCATAACTGTACATGGACTTGGTTGATTTGATGGATTTTTTAACCACCATAAAAAAAGTGCAAAATAAACCTAAATTATCCTTTTTTCCTTTCCAAAATGACTCTAGATTGTAGCAGAAAACTACAATTGTTTATCCTAAATAGCTTAAAGCTTGTAACGATCTACTTCTGTTTATACTTAATTTTTATTGTTTTATTGTCATTTGAACTGTGTCTAACTGATAATCCTGCCACATAAGTTATAAATAACTTGGTGAATGCATTGCTCACGTTACCATATTGAATGACATAATGCATGAGCTGCTTGCAAACATACCTTATGAAGAATTTTTATTATTATTCATTATCTTATCTAATCTAACCTCATAAGTTTCCATTGTTTTACAATTTAGTTACTTTTGTAACCATAAGTAAAGAATTTACATGGAAAACAAGAAATATGGTATTTACCTTTGACCTCTTGTTTGTTTCGCTGACGGTTGCTGAGGAAATTTAAGCCACCAAATAATTGTTCACCAAATAATTTGTATTTACTTAGACAGTGCACCTAAGAACACAGAATAATAACATACACAAAGCAAAGAATGTCCTATAATTATTATAATTTAATTGGCTTTCTAACCAGGCCAAGAAGGACGTAAATCAATACCCTCTGAATCTTGAACACCATGAGATAAACTTTCAGACTGAAGACAGAATTGACGATACTCTGTATTGTAAACAATGTAGCATCATGCATCATTTGGTAGATTATAGCTTTTCATTTCATTCACTTATTAATTATATATGAAGTCAGAGAGAATTAATGGCAATTTATGAAAGAGAGAATGTGATAGGTGCATCTGATTTTCTAGTTTATGGCTGTGTAAAGAAGATTGAAGACTATAGAAATTATACTTTGCCTTAGTAATATTACATTATAATCAATAATGTATGTTAAATTCCATTCATCAGAGAGGGGTGGTAAATAAATTAGTGAAGAAGGAAGACCTAGAGAACAAATGTCACAATTCTCGTATTAGGAAAGATTAAAGATTTTAAAAAATATTTCCCTATAAACTTATGAATTAAAACTTGTATAATATTAAAATATGATTTATTAACTATGTTTGGATACCAAGTTTATTTGTATACATTGATAACAAAGTAATTTAATTAAATTTTGAATGTAACTCTGTAAAATGTCATGACGCTCACTCTGACCTACCTATAGCGAGAGGGTTAAGCTCTGATAATTGAGTCTGTTAGGTTTGACATAAAGAATAGTTGATACTTGTTAAAAACAAAAACACATTAATAAATCTCCTTTCTGTTAATGTAATATGAAAGAAAATATTTAAAATTGTAAATTTTGGTAGTGGTAATAATGTCAAAGAATTGTTACTGTTAGAAATATGTTAGATTCACATATTCTCTGTTTTAATATAAGGGCATGTTTCTCTTTGTTTTCCATCACTATTAATTTATTTCCAGAAATGGGAGCTTTAGATCGCAACAGTGAACTTACACCTCTTGGTAAAATCTTGGCTCGGTTGCCAGTTGAGCCTCGTCTTGGGAAGATGATGATTTTGGGATGCATCTTTGGGTAAACAGAACTTTAAACTTTGTCTCTAGTGGCTCTTCATCAACTTGCCATATCTAACTAATTGCTTAAATATTCTTTGTTTTTCTTCTGTCAGGTGTAACTGTAACAAAAGTACTTAAAACAAATTATTAAAAGTCATCACTGCATACTGCTGCATTATTCAAATCATAGCACATTTGTTTGCAACTATGATACACTTCATATTGTACTCTTTAGAAGTAAAAGGTTTCAAGCATGAATAGTTTACTTTATTTCTTTAGGTACAAACTAGGAAGTTTAAACTTTATAAATATTTTATTAGAGGATTACCAAATGAAAGTAATAGTCAGACTTGAGGAAAATGTTTTAAGATTCATTCCAATCTTAGCATTAGAATTTAATGGGTTTTTTCCCCCTCATTTTGCTTTTAAAGTATTATGTTTAAAAAATCTTTTATACTTTTTTATTCCTTAGTGATGGTGTAGTGAACACTTGAAGCTGTAATAATAAAAATGTGTGTAGTAGAATTGTTTGAAAAATTTAATGTGTTTGTTTTTTTCCTTTATGTTAGTCTGGGGGATGCTCTGTGTACAATTTGTGCTCACAGCAGTACTTTTCCAGAACCTTTTGATACCAATATTCCTCGTCGTCTTGCATGGGTGCATCGACGTTTCCAAGGGATGAGATGGAGTGACCATGCAACTGTATTGAATGTGTTCAACCAGTGGGAAGATGCTCGCATGCAAGGGGATTATGCTGAGCAAGGTTTCTGTGACCAGTTTATCTTGTCTATGCCAACATTGAGAGTAACTGCAGATGCGAAGGTAGGACTTGAATACAGACTAACTACTTGAGGACATTCTTTGGGTTTATTTGAAATTGAGAGAAATTGAAAACCTTTTGATAGACATCAGCTTGAGTTCATATTCCTTTAATGAAAACTTCTGTAAATACATAATGGCTATTTATGTTTATTGTTGAAACAGCCTGTGTTCTTGAAAACCATGTTTGATTAAGAAAAGGGCTTTCATTTGTAAAATATTGAATACTTGATTTTATTAGATGCTAATACCAGAAACTTCAAAAATGCATGAATGTCTTCAGGCTGTAGTGCTTAAGAGACTATTTTGTCATGTAAGAAAGAAAAAAATATTTTTGTTCTAGGTGTCAGGTTTTGTAAAGGAAAAACATAATATATCCATAATTATTCATTTCTGTGGCTTCTAATTATTTTCTTATTTATATAAAATATGGACAAGAAATTTTTTTTGTTTTTATTTTATGATTCATCATTTTTGTTTTTTACATTTATTATCAGTATTCAAAAATATATATCAGTTGGTATACTTTTACCAAAATAGTGTTTCTTTAAATCTTTAAATAGAACTTTAATATTGTTGTGACATTCCAAAGGTCAAAATAAAGGCTCAGTGAAATAACTTTTTTTATATTTTTAGTTGCCAATTTATGTTTTTAAATTTCAATAAATGGGTAACAGTACAAGGTGCAAAGTATATGATATGTATAGCAACCTAAAGCTTTTGTGGCATGTTAAATTTAGTCATGACTGGATGTTTAAAACAGAATGTTTTACATTAATTTTCTTACAGTAATTTTCTTCTTCCTATTTTTGGGGCTGAATATTAACCCCATTTCCCAAAAAACCTACATTTTCTCCAATTTTAAATGTAAAATTCCCAATCTTGTATAAATGCTTTTTAAGTTAAATTGATTTTCAAAATGGAATTAAAAATCAGTCATCATAAATCTGTGACATTGGTTTAAATGCTGCAAATAAAGAATTTTTTTCTTTTTTAATCAGACATCTCGCATACGTGTTGTAATGAGGACACTGGACAGAAAATAATAAACTTGTAAATATGTTCAATAATGAAAAAACTGCTGTCATTGTGTGCTTATTTATTTTAAAAATTTATTGTTACTTTTTTAAAAGATTCATGATTTGACTGTTTAACCCTTTCGAGATGGGTCACGGGTGAAAGGCCACGTCATCTCGTTTGTTGACTCGCATTCAAAATTTT